AGAACTAGACAGACAAGGAAAAGGGCGCTCCAAACGAGTGTCCGAGGCAGGACAAACTGCTACCGTGCACGGTAGCCCATACCAACGAAGGGATTATCAGCAGTAGCAAACTATTTGGAAAAGAAGGCAAAGGAACACGATGCAGATTGGAAAAATGACAACTAATCGTGAACAGTCATACAATGAAGAAAACAGTGTAGATTCTAAACTAATCAGACCGCGGAATCGACTCAGGATCTAACCTGATCTATATTATTTCGGATTCGACTACAGGGAAATTAGATTCTGCATCGACGCACGGCAATTTGTGCATTCGATCATATCTACTTGCCGTATGATTAAAAATTGGGTACTTCGTATACCAGAGCTCCTGTTTCATCAGACTTGTTTCAGAAGGAGAGGAAGAATGCTCGAACGATTAAGTAATTTTCCCCCAGTCAAATTGTGTGACGTAATTTCAATCAATTGTCAATGAATGAGGATCAATCCTAGTGAGACCCTTGTTTCCCGGTTTCATGGAACATGGATCAGCACGATATACGTGGTAGTGGTAGCACATATTCATCATACAACTGGTTACAGAACTATCGGTCGGTTGATCACGCCCCGTACACCGCGCATTGAGTACGTGCGATATTTCACTGCACTTTACATCCACTTATCACACAAAACGTGCATATTTTTTTCCGGTAGTGAGCAGATGTGAATAAATGAAGAACACTTTTCAAATGCTTTCATTCACAAACAGCAATTTTTGTATGATCTGAAAAAAGGGGTGAACAGATACCAACTGTATGGACTAGACTCAGAAGTGATTTGGGAAAAATCTAGCCGAATGAAGGAATGATCTTAATCCATTACTCAAATGTATCCACTACTCATTTTGAAATATGTCGTGGCGTTGATGAGAGTGGAGTGGTGAAAAAAATTGTATTTCTCAACGGGGGGAGGGGAGAGTAGACCCGGCTAATTGGCAGAACCCGAAAAAAACAATGCATGCAGGGTATTTCAACCAGAGAACACATGAGAATTCAATATCTGTCGCCAATAGCAACAGAAGGATAGTGGTCTGCCTAAAAGAGAGTGGTCGATACGAGGTAAACCAATAGGGATTATTGGCTTTTAGTTACAACAGGAGTCTTCAGTTTATTGAACGTGTTTTAAGTTAAAAGAGAGAGAGAAAGGGTCACTCACTTCTAACTTGACAGAGTTCATCCGGTCGCTAAGTAGAGGAGGGTCTAAAACCGCGCTTGGAACGGAATCCATCGGGTTTCCCAAATCGTGTGAAAGGATATCCGGTTTGGTTACAGGCCCTATAGGATTAACATTTTGTCTGTTACTCTCCAGAAGACTTCGTGAACGACCTGACGAGGGAGGAAATATGAAACGATCGAGAAATCGGTGAACAGAAAGCGGAGCGAGACGTATTATTCTCCAGAAAGAAAAACACAAGACAGTACGTGGTTCAAGAAGCGGAACTACAGTTGCATTTCTCGTCGTTGAGCCATTCTGGGGTTAAACGCATAGTTTTTAAACAATCGCGGTCGCCTACTGCTACCGGCGAGCAACCTCCATAGACTGCGTTGATTGAGATGTGTGTACCAAATAGATCACAACGGTGTGTAATGTTTGCCGAGGCCGGTAGTGAGTGGAAAAAAGCCAAGGTTTATCAAGAAAAGACCTGGCATTACGGTATGAAAATCCTGATCGGAAGAATTGCGCACATAAGTTACGTTAGGCTTCTTGGATGCATGGGCATCGGGATCAGCCCAAACGATGTTCAGAGAGACTGTGCAATACGGCTGAGTAACCGGTGGAGCTCGTGCGAATACTCAAAGTCCTTACAACCCTAATCGACATGAATTCACGCCCATTACCCGCACACTTATGTGAACATTTCAATTTTTTGTTTACTTCTTCATCCAAGTAGACAGCAAAAAGATAGTAACAAAGACCACAGCAAGAAAATCGGTGGCTAATGGTTGTAGAAACTAAATTGAAATGAACTGTGCAATATGCTAGCTTCCGTCGCCTGAACCGATTTTACATTTTAAGCAGAGCCACAATTTTTGGTTCATTGAGAAGGGCATTACATTTTTGACTGAGGTAGAGCACCAAGGGAACAGAATATATTTACCATTGATAAGAGACAAAAAATTCTTAATTCGATTCGCCGTGGAAAGTTAGCAAAAGCTACAGTATGCCTGAAACACAAACCAAACATTGACCCAATTAATGACCGGATCAGAAGCGTTCATTCATTCTTCGATTGAGAGTGGTTCATAGCAAAGTGTGAAACATGAGGTTGCGGAATCGTGTGGATCACTCGGTTAGACAAAGAGGGAATTGCAACTCGGTTACTTGTTACTGGATCCCTAGCTCCTCACGGATGGCGAGACCACCAAAATTCCGAATACACGCAAGGTAAGCACGAATGATCAAGCTAGATGCAGAGTGAGTCCGTGTCGAAGAACGCTGAAACAAAGCGAACCACTGTGGTCAATCCATAGAAAAAAATACAGTCCACCTGTACAATAACACGCTCCAGGGATTTTGATGTGATAGCAAACGTCGGTTCGCTGTCATGTCATTCGACATTTCCAACCAACCAGTTGCAACACCTAGTTAGTCCACTTGATCGCTATGTGCACCGTCTCACACCATTCGTCGGCCTCCGTGTATTTTTCTTCAGCTATGAGCAGCAACGGGAAATAATGCATAGTACGGTAGACAACTGTTACGCATGCACAACGGTGCCGTAAATAGAGAAGCCTATTCATTTGGATTTTATGTGATAACGAAATCCTCACCAACACATCCTCAAACACAGTAGGGCTGACCTGAAGGTTACTCACCCGTTTTCCCCGAGTCACCCGCACCAGATTAAGTTAAAACGGCCTGCGGAAAATCTCTAATCGATTGGTGTCTCCTGCTCATAATTGTAAGGTACCATAATTGTGAATCAGAACTGACCTAACGAAATTTTACCTTCAGGGAAACGTCAAGTCTATACAAGTTCCAATCCTGCTTACGATGCTTGAGCACTGGAAGTGCGTATGGTCGCTGATCACGTAAATGCCTAGGTAGGAGAAGCAACCAATTTTGGTCAATTTCTGACCATCTAAGTAGGACTGGTCGACATCCAGTCTTGCAGCATGAAGTTGCATTCTGAAGATGCGAAGCGCATGCCAAAAACAGTGACAGAAGTGGATCATGTGCCAAGTGTACTTTGTGCGTCTTCATTGTGTTGGGACAGCCAGACTACCCCGTCATCGTATTCTAAACCGCACGGCTTCTTCCCAATCGCTCAAACCGGTACAATAAATATAAATATGACCGTCCATTGGACGATCGGTGATGAACCGCCATAAGGTGGACGTTGTTCCACTGGATAAGCGGCGCGGTGATTTGAGGACGTAGTGGATTTTCGTATGGCAATTAACCTGCTACCAATATCTGCAGAACACGCACCGTTGCATGTAGAAATTTGATGCGTAGGACAAGTTAGGGGATCATTTTGTAGGCTGGGTTGAACCGCTGTAGCATATATACAGGTATTGACCAAACTCGTGCAACATACTGATTTTCATCATATTTGTTCCTCTCAATGCTTCATTCTTTC